AAAAACCTCTCATGAAATCATGAAGTTATAGTATTCAATAGTACATATAAATTAATGCCCAAAATGCAAGAATTTGGGGAATAAATGAAATTAACAAGTGAATAAGAACAAATAAAATATTATCACTGCTGTCAACTATAAACTACATCAACTGTGAACTATATTATACTTTACTTTGGCCTTATTTTCTTCTTTTCTTCCCCATCCCCCCAGTTTTGGGCCCTATTATTACAATGATTTATATGTAACACAAATGGTTCAGAAAAACTGTATTTTTACTCTGACCTTAAATGCTGTTGAAGGTTTATTAAATGACAAGGAGCTTTGCTTGTTTTCCTTAGTTTTGGTTTACCAACGTATTTTTTCTAGCTTGCAACAACAAAATACAATGATAGCCATAACAACTTTGTTGTAACTTTCTATTATAATCCCTCCCCTACTGAAATAATTTTTTTACTATAACATAGTTTGTCAAGAATGATGCTATATTTTCATAGCAGAATGGATTAAATGATACTTTCTTTGTCTCATCCCTTCTGCCATTTTTATTTGATTTTACTAAGCATGAATCACATATGAAAATATTGTAATGACAGTATATTAAAATCTTAAAATAATTTTCAAACATTATTACATGTTTTAGAGGAAGTTTACACAGAGTAATTGAAATGTAGATGAGCTCTAAAGTAAGTTCCAATAAGGATTTTTTTTATAGGAGGTAGTTTATTGCCCACTATATATTTCTAAATATATACAATACATTTTGGATAACAATATATACAATACATTTTGGATAAGACTTCTGTAACTCAGACTCCTTACAAATTTATCTTTTTGAATTCATCTACTCATCTTCCATCAACTTTCCTGAATTATTCCAATAGCTCTGTAACTCCAGTTCTTAATTCACTCCTTTTCCTAAAGTCTTGATACTGTTTCCAAAGGTCAAAAACAATATAGTAATATATGTACTTCTCTCTCTCTCTCTTTTTTTTTTTTTTTTGAGTAGGGGGTTACTGGGTATTGCATTCAAGGGAACTCGACCACTGAGCCACATCCCCAACCCTATTTTGTATTTTATTTAGAGACAGGGTCTCACTGAGTTGCTTAGTTCATTGCTTTTGCTGAGATTGGCTTTGAACTCAGGATCCTCCTGCCTCAGTCTCCCAAGCCGCAGGGATCAAAGGTGTGCACCACTGTGCCTGGCACATGTACTTCTTCATGCATTAAATAACATGGTATGGTGGCAGTTTTAATAAGTAATTTAGAAATGATACTTTGAGATATCTGTAACTATGATAGGAAGATATCTGACACTTCTATTGATGACAAAGTTGGTCACTATAATACTATGGTAGTTTGTTGCCTACATTCATTATTAAAGAAAACTTTAAATTATAAGTGAATGAAAACAAAAATGCAATTTTTTTTTTTAAGCTCCTAGATCCCTTGCATTCTATGCCTGGATCTGGGGTGGAGATGGTAGTGGTGGGGCTCCATCAGGCTTTAAAACTACTGAAATAGTTCCTACTGTCCTAAAGGTAAAATTCCTGTCACATGGTGATTCCCAGTTATTACTCATATCTATCTTTTGCAGCTCACTTCCTGCTGAGTTAGTTTTTCTTTCAGACCTCTGGAAAGCTATCCCCTGTGCTAGCAACACTCTTTCTCTTTTCTTCCTGGCAAATTCCCAATCATCCTTCAGGTGACCATTTACATATTATTCCTTCAGGAAACCAAGACTTTTAGGTGCTTTCCTAGTACATACCCACAGCATCCAGCACTTATACATGCCACAGCATTTATGACACTGTATTAAAACCACCCTCTCCCAAAAGAAGAAATAAAATTGGCCAACAAATATATGAAAAAAAAATGTTCAACATCTCTAGCAATTAGAGAAATGCAAATTAAAACTATACTAAGATTTCATCTCACTCCAGCCAGAATGGTATTTATCAATACAAGTAATAATAAATGTTGGTGAGGATGTGGGGAAAGGGTACATTCAGACATGGTTGATGGGACTGCAAACTGGTGCAAATACTTTGGAAAGCAGTATGGATATTCCTCAAAAAATTAGGAATGGAATCACCATTTGACCTAGTTATTCCACTCCTCAATATATATCCAAAGAAGTTAAAATCAGCATACTACAGTTATACAGCCATATCAATGTTTATAGTACCATAATTTACAATAGCTAAGCTATGGAACCAACCTAAGTGCCCTTCAACAGATGAATGGATAAAGAAAATGTGATATGTGTTGCCATTTACTGGCAAATGTTATAATTTCTCTTATGGCTGAGTAATACTCCCTTATGTGTGTGTATATACGTGGAAGCTAACATTATCAGAGACACATGTGGGGGGAGGCGAAGAAAAAGTACAGTGAGTAGGCAAGGGAATGAAAGGATAGGAAAAGGAAAGACAGTGGAATGAATCTGACATAACTTTCCTATGCACATATATGAATACACCACAGTGAATTTCACCATTGTGTACATCCACAAGCCTGGGGTCATAATTAGAATAAAATATATTCCATCCTTGTATAATTATATTAAAATGGATTATACTATCATGTATAACAAGAACCAATTAAAATAAATAAATAAAATTGTCCTCTCCCATTAACTGAAAACACATAAGCTGTCTAATTCCTACTTCTTTCATATAGCCTGGCACATAGTAGGATTTCAATAATTGTGGAAAGAAGAAAGGAAGGAAATTCCAACTTATTTACTTTTTCTGACCTGGAATTATACCCTTAATTTCTGTTTGACCTTCACAAGTGCAAGCTGCTGGTTGCATGGGAATCAAAAAAGTGTAGTACTCTATTTCTATATATTCACAATTTATACTAGAAAAATTATTTAGTATGATGATTGAAAGTTAAGAACAGTGTCACTATTATTACAGATCCCTATGTGATAATAAATAAAATAACAATCAGTAATAATACTGATAAATAAAATTGTATCAAGAAATGAAAGATTATTAATCAAAACCAAAAATATCTATCTCAACTATGCACATATGCTCCCAAAGTTGTGGTGGTGAAGGATTAAGAGGACTCTCCCTTAGGGATATCTATCAAAATCAGTGAGGTAGACAGAGTTTTCAAGTTATAGATATATTGAATATCCCATTATTCAGTCACTGTTGTTGAGAGGAAATGTCTACTGTGGCAATCAAAGGATGAGAGCCACTGTTTTAAACCGATCCAATAAGCACATTAAGTAAATGTTCTTGGGGCTGGGTTGTGGCTCAGTGGTAGAGTGCTTGTCTGGCATGTGTGAGGCATTGGGTTTGATTCTCAACACCCACACATAAATAAAAAAAATAAACAGAATAAAAGGTCCCCAACAACTAAAAAAATATTTTTTTAAAAAAGGTAAATGTTCTGCCACAAGACGTTACAAGACAATTGATAAAAGTGGTTTCTGTATCACTTTAGCTAAGCTGAAAGTCACAAAGTTGCAGGGGTGAGAGAGAGAGAAAGAGAAAGAATACAAAGTACTATGGATGATGGTATGAACTTTTAGGGTCCAGTCAGGAATTTAAAACAAAAATAGGCTAGAAGTGTGTCAGAAAACAATACAAGACAAGATAAATGGAGTGAAATCAGTGTACAACTGCTAAAAGGGGGAGGAGAATTCAACTCATCTTCTGGGGAGAGTCTGAATCACGTTGGTTGGAAGGTATCTAAGTAGTAATAGGTCAGAATATGACTATAGGGGTTCTGAGCAATCAAGTTTAGAAATGTTGAAGGCTGGGGTTGTAGCTCAGAGGGAGACACTTGCCTACCAGGCACGAGGCTCTGGGTTCAATGTTCAGCACTAGAAAAAAATGCAGATTTTATTCTAGGCAAAATGGGGCACTAATGGTTTGAAGAAGGGTACATTGTAGGATTAAACTGTGGGGAAGATTAATCCAAGGGTTCTAAATAGGGTGAATTAAGAGATTGAGAAGGGAAGCAGAGAAACCAAGGACGAATCATAAACAGAACTGCTTGACACAAGATTAGCTGACAAGAAGTCTATGATAATCTACAAGACGGATTCTTCAACCTTCAATGTGCTGCTGAGGGTCGAACTCAGGGCCTCACAAATGCTAGGCAAGTGGTCTACCACTGAGCCACAACCCTAGCCCCGCTATTTGGTATCTTAAATATATTATCAGCCAATAATTAATTCTATTTCACAAGTTCTGCTTTCCTCTTTTTGTTATATTTGTTCCTTAAGATTTTCATTAGAAAGGCACAATATAAACATAACAAAAATAAAACAGTACTTTTAATTTCCAAAAATTTCACATATATACACTTACACTTTATACGGAATCGGCAAAATAGTAGTGTTTCAAATGTTTTACACGGCAATATCATTTACCTTCAAGTAGGAAACTTGATCTTTACCTTTAACAGATGGAGGTCTTTTCTGCTTAATATTCACGGTCCACTAAAACATTAAGTTTTATAAAAATGTAATAGGATTTCTTAAGAGTTGATAATGAAATCGGGAAATTGTTAACCAGCTAATCTTTAGGGTTAATATTTGAAAAAAGTCATCTACTAAGACAACTTCATACTATACAAAAGAGCGATCCTAAAACTTTTAGTTATAAAGTTATAAGCTATGTTCGGGTGGGGTATATGACATGCACACCACCTGCAAATTCGAATGTCATTTCACTGACCAGGGAGGGAGTGAGGGGCGCGATGTACCCAGAAATCCTGCTGTAAGAGCCTTGGACTTAAGACACGCCCACACTTCTATCCACCAAATTCATGGGTTTGAAGGTGATGGGTTTGAAGTCGGTTGCCTTCACCTTCCCTGGAATCCTCCCCAGCATGGCTGTGTATAGCTTGCCACCGGCCTCGAATGTTCTCTGGGGCCATGGCCAGAAAGGAGCAAGTCCCACCTATCGAGGGACCCCGCGGGGATGTCAGAGGGAAGAGCCTGGGTAGCCTAGCTGAAAAGGCCCGTCGCATACCTGTGCTAAGGCGGGGAGGCTGCTGTCGCGTGCCGCGACATTCAGGCGGCCGTGATGCCAGGCCGCTCCTGCCCCTGCCAGGGTCACGCCGGCCACTGCTGCTACCAAGGGGCCAGGGCTTGGCACGGCTCGGCGGCTGGCAGCGAGTCCCTGCCGCAACCTTCCGCCCCAGGCCGCTAGCCGAGCGCTTCTCCCCGCAGCCGCCGCCATCTTTGCGGAAGCACTAGAGTGCCGCGCACCGCACCACCCCCCACCCTCTGATGACCTGCGAACTCTCGCGTTGCTTAGCTATCGCGAGATGTAGGCGTTCTCAGCCTCGTCTCTGGGTTCTGATCCTTGGGTGCACCTAGGGAAGCAACGCTGGGAGCAGTGAGAGGCTATCCTGGGTACAGGGGCCGCATTCTTTGGCTCAGAATGTCAAAACAGTTCTAACAGGCTTTCCTAATCCAAGCACAACAAGGTAATACCATCATTGTGTAGATTAGATAATCTGGCTAAGAGAAAATGGATCAAGGACTAAGGGTTGATAATTGCAGTGATTCAAGGAACTTCCATTAAGTAGTCAGTCTGATGTAGAGTGTGACCTTTTTTGTTTGTTTGCAAAACTTGAAGATGGCGGTGATTAAATGGCCATAGACTTGGCACCTTTGACCTACTTAAAGGAAAGCTAGTCATCCTTTGGTCCCAGGAGAATGCTGTGTTTGCTGGGCACTGTGGAAGTTGGAGAGGACACATATTTGCAGTATAAGATAGGCACTTATGATAGGCACGTTGTGATCAACGACGGGCATAATCTTTATAGTAGAATCACATCCCTGATGTGGTTGGGTTGTGGAACTGAAAAAGTCTGCATCTTTCATAACACTATTTGTTCCAACTCCACAAACCTGCCTATGTTAAGAACAACTTTAAGAAAAAAAAATTTATGGTTGGAGATGGACAGCATGCCTTTATTTTATTTATTTATTTATGTGTGGTGCTGAGAGGATCAAATCCAGTGCCTCACACATGCTAGGCAAGTGCTCTGCCACTGAGCTACAGTCCCAGCCCAAGAACAACTTCTTTTTAAGTATTAGCTCATATTTATTGTACAAATCAGTGGATTTCACTATGACATTTTTATACATGCATATATTGTGCTTTAATAGCATCCACTCAGTCCCCCCCTTCTCTAATAACAGTAGTCTCTCTTCTGTTTGCAGGCCTTTCTTGGACTCTCCACATGTGAGAGAAAACATAGGATATTTATCTTTCTGTGTCTGGCATATCTCAGTTAACATGATGATTTCCAGTTTCATCCATTTCCTGCAAATAACATGATTCCATTCTTCTTTATGGATGCATAATATTCCATTTGGTATATACACACTATTTTCTTTATCCATTCATCTGTTTATGGTTACTAAGGCAGATTTCAAAACTTGGCTATTGTGAATACTGCTGCAATAAAGATAGGTATGCTGGTATCTGTCTTTGGGGTGCTGATTTTATTTTCTTTAGGTATATACCCAGGAGTGGTATACCTGGATCATATGATAGTTCTGATTTTTTGAGGAACTTTCATACTTATTTCCATAGTAGCTTAAGAATTTCTTGACAATCAGGATTTATATCATGCTATTCAGAAATTTACATGAGCTGCAGATACCTTTTTAAAAATATTTATTTAGTTGTAGATGAACACACAGTATCTTTTTTTATTTTTATGTAGTGCCGAAGATTGAACCCAGTGCCTCACACATGTAAGGCAAGCACTTTAGCACTGAGCTACAGCCTCAGCCCCTGGAGATACCTTTTTAAAGCCCATTTTAAGTAATATCTATCAGCTTGCCTAGCCTCTGATAAACTATAGTTACTTTTATTTATTTATTTATTTTTTGTATCGGGGATTGAATTCAGGGGCACTCAACTATTGAACCACATCCTTAGCCCTATTTTGTATTTTATTTAGAGACAGGGTCTCACTGCATTGTTTAGTAGCCTCACTTTTGCTGAGGCTGGCTTTGAACTCTGGATCCTCCAGTCTTAGCCTCCCAAGCCATTGGGATCACAGGTGTGTGCCACTGTGCCTGGCTATTGCACTTACTTTTTAAAAATGTGTTCTATTTATGCCACTTTTGTAGCAATCAAATTTTAAAATTTATTTTTTAACTACAATAAAATATACAAAACTTTATCATTTTAAGCATTTTAAGATCAGTGTCAGTAAGTTCAAATCACTTCATTGTGCAACTGCATCTCTAGGACTTATTTCATCTTGCAAAACTGGTAAACATTTTTAAAAATGATCTCTTCCACATCTGTCTTGTTCACACCTTCCTATACTCATAGTCCTAACTGTTCTTTCATTTCTGCTAAATCAAATCCTATCCTGGCCTTTTAACTTTGATTTTCTTATGAACTCCCTGACAAAGAACTAGATTTCAGACAATCACTATTTGCTGGATGCTCAATTTAAATTTTGTTCCAACAGTGCTTGATGGTAGCTATTATTCCACTTTGGACTGAAAGCTGGCATCAGATGCAGCAGCACACCTACTCCATGTTCTTATCACCAGGAACCCAGATGTTTTCCCTACTGCAGGTGTGTTTGTTCTTTTGGTGGACAGACAACTTGGCTTCATTTTGTAGCGTCTGATCCTTTATTCTTTGCTCTTCACTTTTCCTGAGGAAATTTAATTAACTCCTTGTTCAGTCTCTTAAAGGTTCCAGGCTATTACAGTCCCTACTAGGAAATGTAGTAACGTGGAGCCCACCCAAGTCAAAGGTGCCAAGACTTCTGGTCATATAATCACTGCCATCTTGAAGTTTTGCAAAGCAAAAGTAACAACAACATGACAACAAAAGGCTGCCACACTAAATCTAATTTGACCACTTAATGGAAGTTCCTTGGATCACTTTGTTATTATCTATCCTAAATCATTGCTGCCTTCTTCTTGGCCAGCTTATCTAAATTTATCTGGAGTCAGAGATGCCTCACTTTTTTCCCAGCTGATGAAACCACTTTCAGTGTTTCTTTCCAGGCAGGATGTACATGGACTCAACTTACAGTGACTTGTAAAGCAAACTTCCAGATTTGAATCCTGGCTTTACCAGGATGATCGCTGTGATCTGGGGCAGGTTAATCACTCTGAGTCCCAATTGTTTCATCTGTAAACAGCTCTCTCACAATTTGGGAGATGATCACTGATTTGGGGCAAGGCATTTAATCTCTAAGTCTCAATTTTCTCATCTGTAAACAACCCTCTCATAGTTAGGAGTGAGGCGATTAAATAGCATTTATATGAAGTGACTAGCCAAATACCTGACACGTGGTGGTGCTCATGACAGATAAGAGTTTATCTTTTTCAAGGTTTGGCTTACTTCTCCTCTGTGCTCACAGATGAGCTTGAGTGAATATTCAGGATTCCAGGCTGCTAGCCCACCTTTACTTGACACTTCCTGGTGTTTCTTTCTTTCTTTTTTTTAAAGAGAGAGAGAGAGAGAGAGAATTTTTAATATTTACTCTTTAGTTTTCGGCGGACACAACATCTTTGTTTGTATGTGGTGCTGAGGATCGAACCCGGGCAGCATGTGAGCGCTACCCCTTGAGCCACATCCCCAGCCCCCTGCTGTATCTTATCTATCCTGACTGTGTAGACTTTGGTCTGTTTTCATCTCTGCTGACTTTGGTAATTGTTGGCATATGTTCTGTTTTTCTGGATTATTGAAATCTAGCTTGTTTCTGTCCTCTGGTGATTATAGGACTTCTGGATATGTTTCGATACCTTGTGGATGTCTTATCTTGTAGTTTATTCTTGGCTTCCAGAAACTACAGTCTTTACCTATTTAATTCAAAGTGTGTAATTCACAGTTCCTCTACCCACTTAATGATTCCCAACATCTAACATTCAGTCATGATCCCAAGCTCAAAATAGATGCATATTCCTATTAGCTCATTTGACATATTTTAAAACATTCTCCCTCAGTTTGACATACTTGTGGATGATAATGTCTTTTTCTTTTTTTCTAGCACCTACCAAGCACAATGCCCAGCACATGTTAGACATCCAATGAATGACTATATGAATAAACATATAGCACAAGAGAAACTCTGTGGTACTCATTTCCAAATTTTTGGCATCATATGTAAAGAAATATATTATTCCTTTGGTGCAATTTATTTTTCAAGACCAAAGCCTCATTTTAAATCATTGTCTTTTGCTGAAAATCTTTGAACTTACTTGGAAAACTGCTTTGTAATTTGTTCTCACGTTATGTGCCCAGGCTTCTTCTATAAGTCCCACTTAAAATTTAATTTTTTCAAACTTTTCTTCTGCAGAGGAAATAAATCTTTTAATAGAACCAATCTCTAGCCAGCTAACCATTCTAAGTATGAAAATTTCCCTGACAGCTGCTGACATTTGTCTAAGCACATTGACTATCTTGGTCTTTTTGGGCTCTGGCTTTGTTCATTTCTTCCTCACCAGCTGTAGAGAAAGTCCTGGGCTGGGATGTATTTTCAACCATGCAGTTTATAAACTAATTCCCAAATAAGGAGCTGCTGCTTCTCAAGAAAGCTATAAAATCTATCTAGGCTGTTTTAAATATTAATTAAAGAAAACCAGAATGGAAACATGGATAGTTTCAAAATATCAGTCTTAATTCACTAACTCTGTGCCCTTTTCTGTGAAAGGAGGACAAAAATGATATGTCAAGAAAACTACCCTCAAGGAGCTTTATTCCTATTGGAGGGACTAGATCTGAATTTCGAAACAATGCCAGGTAGTCTTTAATGATTGGGCTGCACAAAGGAGGAAGGGTGTGGAAGGCTAGAGCAGTGGAAAAAAGCATGTAGGGAAAAGAGCAAATCTGATGTGGATCTTAGTGGAGTCCATGGGAGGTTCCAAGACAGGAGGAGAGATAGGGCTGAGAGTGTGGGGAGGGCTAGTTATGGTGTGTGTTTACCAGGCTTGGAGTGTCTTGGTAGCCAGAAGGTGCCGTGCAGTGATTTTTCACAGCAGGGACAGTCATGCACCACTTAAAAATGAGACACATTCTGAGAAATGCATTGTTAGACGATTTTATCATGTGAGCATCAAGAATGCCAGATAGTTTAGTCTTCTACACATCTGGGCTATATAATATATACAGGGTATAGCCTGTTGCTCCCAATGTCATGATGAACAAAACAAAATGAGATTAAATCATATGCAAGAGAAAATGATTCAATGAAGAGATGTGTGAAGTACAAGATATTTGAAGCTTCTGCCAGTGTAATAGGGCATACTGTTTACATTAAATTTTCTCTAAGTAGGAGTAGCACTCTAAAATAACAATGAAAATATAATAAAATAAATACATAGGAGCTAGGGCTGTGGCTCAGTGGTAGAGCACTTGCCTAGCATGTGTGAGGCACTGGGTTTGATCCTCAGCACCACATAAAAATAAATAAATAAAATAAATGTCTATCAACAACTAAAAAATTTAAAAAAATGAATACATAAATCAGTAACATAGTTGTCTTTATTATCAAATGTGTACTGTACGTAATTGTGTGTGTTATACTTTTATACTACCAGCAGCATATAGGCTTGTTCACACTAGCATCACCATGAACATAATGTGGATAATGTGGGGCAATATAGCATCAGTTGGCTACAACATCACTAGGTGATAGGAATTTTTCCATTACAATCTTATAGGACCATTGTTGTACGTGTGGTCCATTATTGAAATATCCATGCACATGACTGTATATGGAACAGGTGTCAGTTCCTTTGACACTTTGCACTTTTGATTTTGGACTCTTGATGTCTCCTTTCCTGCATTCCCATCCACCTGTGGCTGATCTCCTTTGCATCTCACACATTCTGTTCCATGTTTGTCTTCTGCCTATCCAGACTTTATGTTGGCCTTTCTTATACACTTATTCATGGGCTTCTCTAAATTATCTTCACACCTTTTGGGCAACCAACACTTTGATTCCCTGAGGATTACTGGTCTTGAACAACAGAGATCAACTAGTTCTTACTAAGACAGTATTTTTGTATTTCCATTTTAAAAGAAGTTATGAATTCAAATGTGTTTTTATCTTAGCATATGTGGGGAAGATAAACAAATTTATAGTCTGATTCTGAAAGATTGCTTACTGTTATAGTACAGAAGAGTGTACATTAAGATTAATTATCTTTGGTGGAGGAGGAAAAAAAATCTCAGAAAGATATGTTTTGGAGATTGAATTCAGTCCTGTATTAATGGAGTAATCAGCACATGAATGGACACTATATAGAGCCACTGCTTAGAATAGACAGAGGTTAAACTATATTTGTGGTGGATAATTGTGTAGTGGAAGGTATGAATCACTCTCAGAGGCCCTAGATGAGTCAAAAGAATTGCTAATTATGTCTTTCTGTGCAGTTTGGGGCCATGGGTAAAAATATCTGGGGATCATGATTGATACCAGCATGTGTAGAAATAGGTCAAGATGAAATCTCACTGACAGTGAAACAGAATTGCCCAGAGGAGGCTTTTCTGTGTCTTTCAGATCCTCCTCTGGTTCTCATTCCCTTCCCATCATCCCAGTTTACACTCTCATTACCTTGCACTGTGATGATTGCAAGTGTCTCTTAACAGGTGTCTTTACTTCCTGTCTTTTTCTCCTCCCAAGCATTCCATAGGTGGATGTCAGCTCAGTCTTCTTAAAACATTTCTTTCACCACACATCCATTAACTGTGTGATTTCACCTTCCTAGGTCTCTGTCTCCTTGTCAGAAAATGAGGAGATTGGTTTCGGTTTATTTTTCCAGTTCTAAAATTCTTACTCTGGGCCACTCCAAAGTGGCTTTGCTTTTTCTTTTTTCATTTGACAAACTGTATTGAGTGTGAAATATGTGCTAGGCATGGTGCCATGCCTTGAAGATGCAAAGAGAAATAAGATTGAGTTCCCCTCATGGTGCCCAGTTCTAGGATGCAGTCCCACATGTTGAAATGTGCTCCCTTTGTTTAAAACATTAAAAAGTACATAGTCTCAGGTTGGGCATATAGCTGGGTCGTAGAGTACTTGCTTAGTGTTAAATCCCCAGCATTGCTTGTCCCCAAAATTATGTAGTCTCCATTTATATATGTTTATTTGTTTCTCAAATCTATACGTTTACAACTAAATGTTAAAACATAGTAAAAATTTATTTATTTATTTTTTAGTTCTGGGAATTGAATCCAGGGCAAGTGCTCTCAGCACAAAAATTTAAATTTTATATGAAGATGAAATTGTTTTCACAAAATAAAATTTAAATTTGTCATTAGAGGTTCAATTAATGTTTTGTTCTTTTTAACGACGTTAATACTATTATGGTGAGATCAATGTGATCAAATTGGCTTCTTTTGCTTGGAAACATTTTCTGAGATAGATAAACAGCGGTCTCATATTATGTTCAATTAACTTAGACATTAGTTTTGAATGACTGTCATAGCTCAAAATACATTGATCCAAATGCAAGGAGTAAATAGTTAACTGAAGTAATGAAATCATAATAGGGAATAATTTCTGCTTTTTATTATGAAAAATGCTGAATATAGACAAAATTAGAAAGATAAAAATGTTGAAAAATCTATGCATTAAACATCTAACCCAACTTCCACAATCACCAACTCATGGTTAATCTTCCATCTAGACCTTCTCCTTTTTACCTCAACTAGATGATATTGAAGCAATCTCCAGAATCACATAATCTTATTTGACATATTTCATCATGCATTTTTACAAGATGAGAACTCAAAAAAAGGAAACTTATATACCATTTTTTTTGGCTTTTGTATTTCTTAAATAGACACATAAAACTTTATTCAGGAAAAAAATTATATAAATTGAATAAAATGCTAGGAAGTTGGAGTAACACCAAAGTTATGGGAAGAAGATTAAAAGTTTATTGTATAAATGTTGCATAACATTTCCACATTTCAGAGAGAGAGGGATCTGTTTTGTAATTAAGTATAATTACAAAAAATAGTAAAAGCATAATGTTTGAAGTTGCAAAAAGATGTTTTTGAAAAAACATTTAAGAAACAAATGTGTATTTCAGGAGAATTTGATTATTTTCATGTCAGTTATAATATCTCCAAAGTTCTGGATAGCTCACCAAGAAAGAAATTTCTTTTCTTTGTTTCTTTTCCAAGTAAAAGAAATATCTCAAGCAAATCAATGATGGTGACCAGAGAAGTGTTAGGGAAGATAGCATATCCAGGTGAGCAAGGGGAAGGGAGGGGATCAGAACTAAAAAAAAAATCTAAGGAAATGTTCCTTGCCAAGATTTCAGCATAAAATTTCAAGTCCATGATATGTATTCGTAGTATCAGGACATCCAGAATATCATAGGCTCTTCTTAACTGTGCAAAAAACTAAGTTACTTAGTTAGTGCGAAAGCTTTGGTATTATGTTGTTTATCATTCCCTAAAAGAAAAAAAAAATTGCATGTCATTGTTCATTCCTTTCCTCCCCAAAGCAGGTCCACCATTTAGTTATCTTTCGGCTTCCTCTAAGGTAGTACCACTGCCGTGAGTTTATTTGTCTGATGGAGGCGGACAGGGAAAGACACTGGTGTCTGACAGCAGAATCTGAATTCCCACAGAAATTACTCTCCAATTGACTTGGTTGTCCTAATTTTGTTTTGTGCTTCAGAGACTCAGAGAAATATGCTGAAATGGTCACCATTCACTGGTTGTCACAGAAATGACAATGATTACAAGGTAGGAAGGATGTTGAACACCAGACAAGGAAGATGAGGTCTCAGTGCAACAGGTGACCCTCTAATAACTTACAAAGTGGTCTGTACCTTGTGTATAAGCAAGTTGGTGGCTGGGGGTGTCGATTACTGCTACCTACTTAGCTTGCAGATAAATGATGCAGGTAGCTTTGATTCAGTCTGGCTCATCAAAGGACCACATCCTCTGGTCATGACCATGGTGACCTCTTTCAGTTGTGAGGGCTTCAATTGCAACTTTGGGGTGTTGAAGGGTGGGAATGAGAAGTTTCAGATGAGAGAAAAGACCTATCAACCAGGACATTTTTGACAGAGACAAAGAGAAGTTGCATAGAAACTATATCATTTGAGATCTAGAAATGCAGATATATCAAAGATATAAAATGCTTCCTTTAAGTGAACAGGTGAAAGTTCTTGAATTAATAATGAATAAAAATATTTAACACTGAAGTTGCTAAGAAAGAATCTTCTATATGTGAAATTGTGAAGAAGGAAAAAGAAAATAATGATAGTTTTGCTGTCACACCTCAAATTGCAAAGTTATGACCACAGTGTATTCCTAACTGCTGAGTCAATATGGAAAAGGCATTAAGCAATTGGTTCAGTATTATCACAGTTTTAGACATCTGTTCTTGGGATGTGTCCCCTAAGAATAAGGAGGAGCTACTGTATTAACAGTTCCATCTACCAGTTGGGAGATATTTTTGTTGGAATTTGGTTCCTAAAGTCTCCAGGTTAATTGACATCATCCATTTGTTCTTTTAGACTGATTAGACTTAAAACTCACCCAAGATCTTTCTTTTGAATATTTTCTAAGTGGGTGTGGTGGTGCACATCTGTAATCCAAATTGAGACTCAAGCGAGAGGATCACTTGAGCCCTGGAGTCCAGCCTGCAATCTGGTAAGATCATGGTCAGATTTTATAAAAGTATAGAATAAGAGCCTTTTTAGATCATGCAATTACATTATTTTTTGGCAATGAAACCTTGTAGGGATCCAAATATCTCAAAAATACACCACAAGCACAAATTCCTTAAAAAAGCAGTAACTTTCTTAACCATTAGTGAAACATCACCTTGGCCTTGAAGAGATACAGTCATTTTTTTCAGTAAGTATATTACTAACAGCTACTTGTCATAGAAATGGGCAACATATACAAGCCACTTGTTTTGTAAAAGAAAGTCACAGAACTCACTTTTCAATGGGACAGTTGTTGACCGGGATAATTACTGTATGTTCCAAATAAGTTTCATGGTCACATTCTGTTTCATTGTATAGTATATTAAAGCTTCTACAATAAATTAAATATCTTTAAATATCTTGTTCTTATGAAATTAAGCATTGGTGATTTCTTATTCTCAGCACTATTGACATTTTGAGCCAGAACATATGTAAATATTCATTATTATTTGGTAAGGGGCTGCCCTATGTACAAAAAGCCTTTTTGGAAGAGTATCTTGCTTCTACCCAGTAGATACTAGCTACTGATATTATCTCCCAACCCTGCCACATCTCAACTGTGAAAAGTGAAAGTGTCTCCAGCTGTTGCTAAATAGGCCCCAGGGGCAGAATCAGTCCCAATTGAGAACTGCAATACTGAAAAGTCTGCTCCATGAAGGCAGTGGATTTTGCCTGTTTTGTGTGTTCTTTAAATTCCTGATGCTTAGAACTATGCCCAACCCATAAAGACACTTAATTAACTGCTTCTTGAATGAATGAATGAATGAATGAATGAATGAGTGAATGAATGAATGTAAATATTACCTTTTATCATTTTTAATATGATAGGAAAAGCAATGGCTTTTGTCTTTGTAATTTAGTAACAAATATAAAAGGGAGCTTGTGAAAATTTAAAGTTTAGTAATTTTTTATCAAACACTGGATTGAGTATTGCTGAAAATTTATTTGAAGAGCCTTTATCTTTGTGTTGTGGATTGTTTACCTTGAATTCTTGTCATGGCTCTATTTCATTAATAGCTAATATCTAAAGGCACAATATACAGTTAGCATTTTTTCATTGTTAATGATAGTGGATCTAAATTCTCCAGTTTTTTTCAAATAATCCTGAGAATTATCTTTTTAAAATTAACTTTGTCTGATTAGCTAATTGACTTCATCTCATAATAAAACTAGAGAATGAAGCAGGAGCCCTGCAATTTTATCCTTGCTCAGTGATATTTTAGTATCATTTTCAGTCTGCAGTGCTTTTGCAGGACTCTTTTCAAAACCAGTTATCCATCATTGTCAGCCTTATTTTCATGAACACTGGATAATATAACTAGTGAATCCACTTTACCAGACCCTCAGAAACTACTATGCCTGTCAATACACTGAAAAGTCACAATCAAGTAAGAACATCTCTTGCAACTCCTTTGGGTCATAGAACTCTTTGGTCCAAACACTTTGCTTCTTGTGACATGAGGCCATCTTATCCAGGTGTATTTTTTTCCTTTTGTTGTATTCAAATATAACCATACAAATTCTAACATACTGTTCCTGTATCACATCTAGTGCATTCTGTGTGGTATGTACACTCCTCTTTGAGAACCACAGAGTTAGTGTATAGTGGATCACATCCAGTCTTCTCAGACTGGCATTCTTAGTTGTAGCAGAGGCACTGTTTATTTATTTAGGTACCTGTGGTTAAACTCATGAGCACTTTACTACTGAGCTACATCCCCAGTCCTTTTTACTTTTTTATGTTGAAACAAGGCCTTGTGAAGTTGCTGAGGCTGACCTCAAACTTGTGATCTTCCTGCCTCAATCTCCAGAGTCTCTGGGATTATAGGCATGCACTGCCATGCCTGGCTAATGAGAAAATAATATAAGCCCATCAAATCCCATTTTATTTACCTTTTCTAGGGCACACATAAATGACATTTTTCAGCTTCCCTTAAAGTAATGAGTAGCCACGTCATCATGTGCTGCTGGCCAATGGTGTGTATGGAGAATTGGTTTGTAACCATCCTTGAGTCAAGAGCCAGTGTAACTTCCTCCACCTTTTGCTTCTTCATCTGCTGCATTGATATCGGGTAGCCATGTGTACCAGACAATATAGCTGGAGTAGAAGCTGCCTACAGGAGGAGAACTTCCAAGGAGAAACACACAGCCTGCATTTTGCTGTTTTTTTCTGGCTTTAAGAGACTAAAACTTTGTGTTTGGTTGTTACAGCAGCTGTCATGAATTACCATGATATATTGGTAATCTATTAATATGTCTTATCTAAATTCTCCAATGTAGTGCTCAGTTATTTACTGTATTTCATTGTTATTATTCTGAAGAATGTTTTACAGCAAAATGAAACTCAATATTATATATTTGAAAAGATTATCATAGAGATTGTAGCTTGGTAAATTGTATTGTATGCCCTATTAAGAATTCAGAGAAGAAATTTCTCTTAGTTCTATTAATAATAAAAGATCACTTACTTATGTTCTTGATCTGCTCTTATCTCATGGACACTCTAAATCTTGTAACCGATTGTGTTTTCCTCAGGGCCAACTTTGTGGCTCATGTCTAGTAACCAGATAAGCTTTATAATATACAGGTGCTTTTTGACTTGCAGTGGGATTATATGCCAATAAAACCTTCATACATTGAAAATATCATTAATTCAAAATTGTACTTAATGCTCCTAACCTAAGGAACCTCACAGATTAGCAACACAGCATACTGTCAGTGGCTTCCCCTCATGATTATAGCGCTGACTGACAATCACTGCTGCTACCCATTATCAAGAGACTGGAGGATCAGACCACACAGCACTAGCTCTGGAAAAGACCCAAACTCAAAATCCCAAGTACAGTGTCTAGTGAATACATATCACTTCTGTACAGGCTCACACTACCATTCCTGGCTGAAAGAAACATTTTATATTTCACTCAAATACAGATATTGAGAAGCATAATAACCTATGTTATTATTTAGGCAGAATACTGTTGGCTGTCTATATCGTGGGTTCTGAACCCACAAATCCAACCAACCATAAATCAAAAAAAAATTTTTTTAATTGTAACTATATTGAACATATAGACTTTTTTGGACAATATTCCTTAAACCACATACTATAACAACTATTTATATTATTATTATTATTTATATTATATTGTACTAGGTAATATAAGTGATTTAGAGATAATTGAAGTATTTGGAAAGATATGCAAAGGCTATAGGCAAATACTTTGTCATTTTTTATGAGACATGGGCGTTTGCAGATATTTATTTCTGTGGAGAAAAGAAAACCTGGAGTCAATCCCCTGTGGATATTCAATTTAGTTCTCTTTCCACAAATGTATAGTGTTTACCAATTTCATTGAAAATCTTTAATGAAGTGAAAGGAGATAGGTCAGAGAGAGAGCACATGGAACATATTTTATTAATATACAAATTATTATTTTTCCCTGGTGCAAATACCAAAATTATCAACGCTGCAGAAAAAGATAATATTGCAACACTGTATTGTGATTTTTTTTTCAGAGATGAGACAGTGATGAATTACAGCTCACTCTAAGTGCAGATAAGGCTGTGGCATTAGCCCTATCTGAAGCCTGGCAGTATTAGATGGGAAGGTAGCTATGTATCCTACAGGCCACCAGTTCAGACAGAAGGTGCTGTTAGACTAGATTATTTGCATACTTTCCTGTGGATCTGTGATGTCTCCCTGGGATAGGCTTTGAAAAATCACTATGGCTCTGGGTCCTTATTAGCCAATAACTCCTAAAGGGCTGTGAACAACTTTAGAAAGATACACTATGTTCAAAAGCTTGATTATAATGGGTAAATATATATGGCCCCATATATGTATGTTTGTAACATTTGCATATGTGTGGAAAAATAAATATTTACTTGAATTTGTTTGTATTAAGTATCTTTTTGTCATGATCCTAGATTTAAAATTCAGAAATAAAGGACTAATCTTCCATGTATAAGACAGTATATAAAGAATTAAATTGTATAGTATAGATCTGAAGCATTCTTGGTGGTGGTGGGGGAAGTGACTCTTTGTTAAAATTTCACAGAGCTTCTCACTTTCTGAAGCTTTATCTAAGTTTTAAATCCTTTTCCTAGCATGTGTGAGACTCTTCCAAACACTTTCTTCAGAGATCAAAATTCTAAATTTCAGATTGAGTTAAATACATTTTATAATTCGTCCGGCAGCTGTTGGGAGTAAAATGAGAATTGCTTTTTAGGGCATTTTTCTCAACAGAACAGTTTTGAAAATGAAACCAAATCTTCACGCTCCACTTGACATGGGAATTTGAAGTTATTTTTACAGGCTCCACAAGCAGTCACTATGTGAAACATTAAAAATGTATTCAAATACAGTAAGTTCATAGTTAAAACAATCTTTCTTGTAACAGCTTGTTCAGTAAATAAAAAACAGGAACACAAATTATATCTTGTTATCACCTTTCATGGTTTTTCATATTTGTGCTTTAACCAAATAACATATTTTCTTGTATAAAATATTTCTTCCCTTTTAATTATAGCCAGATTTGCTGCCTTGGCAGGTAAAGCTTTTATTAAACTTGAAAGTATGTTTGGTGTAAGTAGGGGATGTGGGAACAAACTCTTAAAGGAAAGTCACATTTTCTATGAAACGCAGTGTGGTATTTAAATATAGTCTTTACTAAGACCTTAGAACATTGAGGGACTGGAATGTTTTCAGGTATTCCTAGTGGAGACAAATATGTTTTTGATTTTACAAAATAGTGACTGTATGAAGTCACTGAAGTCAAACAGAAAAAGGAGGTTAGGGGCTGAGGGCATAGCTCAGGGTAGAGTGCCAAGCATGAAGCCCTGGGTTGTATCCTCAGCACTGGTAAACTTTTTTTTTTTTTTTTGGTAAACTTAAAAAAAAAAAAAGCTTCACATTCATAAGCAGATTACGGGAAAGAAATAAGCTAGACAAATATGTAAGCAGAGGAAAAACTATCCATTTTCCTTTTTTTTTGTCTGACTGGAAAGGACTTTGACTCTAGGCAATACTGTGAAGTAGATTACCTTTGTTTTTTGTTATATTTTACTTTCTTCTTCTATTACATTCCCTGCAAGTAGCCTGTGTACCATTCCTGGAGGGTCTTCTCTGGAGCTGACTGATAACAAATCCATGGTAAAGTCTGTATAAAAGACTCTTTTCAGAAAAGGGTGACTTGCTGTTCCTAATCTCTACTGACTGAGAGGACTCAGGCTCAAACAACAGTTTAACAATCCAGGGATTTAGGTTCATTTACAGTCAGGACTGTTAAATATCAGTTCCATATTAATTCCACAAGTCTTAAAATGAGAGAATTTCTCCTATGTCTGAAACAATGTAAACTTTATTTGAATCTGGTGAAGCAATGAAAACGTGGGAGTTAAAAAGACAATTTGGGCTGGGGATATAGCTCAGTTGGGAGTGTGCTTGCCTTGCATGCATAAGGCCCTGGGTTCAGAGATATGAAAAATTGTGCTCTATAGTGTAATATGGATTGTAATGCATTCTGATGTCATATATAACAAATTAGAACAATAAAAAAATGTTCTGGATTCAATCCCTAGCACCAAAAAAAGAAAAAAGACAATCTGGGTAACCTCATCATGGTTAAATGTATAATTCCAATGTTGGGCTTTTTTTATATACAAAAGATGATTTGAGGAATTATCATAACTTTTGTGAAATTCTAAAATGTCGTGGACCTTGGTTTGAGAGAAACTAGTAGAAAACCCTCATTTTATATTCATGAATTAATAGAAATTAAAAAAAAATAATGAAACCTAACAAAATGAATGGCATGCTCAAAAGTTACATAAATAGATAATGATTAAGTCCCCTAGAAAATTCAGGTTTTACTAGTCTCAATTTAGCTTTCTTTCCACCCAATACATTACTTCTAAAATTTAAATTATAACTAATCAGTTAATTGATGAGCTTTTTACAAATAATTTAAATATTCCATAAAATATAATACAAGCTGAAGACCAGTTTATCACTACCTTTCTAACAAGCACAAATACTTACTGGAATCATTGTGGACAATTCTGAAGAGTTTAGATCAGTTTTTTTTTAATAATGTAATATACATACATGTGATTTGGCACCTTGTTCAAATACAAATTCAGGTTCTGTAAGAATAAGGTGGAGATTGAATTTCTAAGAAGCTCCGACAAATGTAGCAGGGGTTTAGACTGAGAATAGAAGATTCTATAAAGGCATGGAGTCTGCCTCCTAACCTAAAGCTTAGTTTATGGGGATGAAATTAATGAGCAAAAGTAAGATGACAAATAAATACACTCTGAATATTTCATTTTTATGTCTTTGTGAGTGATGGATTTTTTTCCCAATTAGAAGGAAGCCCCTCCTGATCAGTACTTTTTTTCTTTTTAGAACTTAGAAATCCACTCTGTACACAGTGGCTGTTAAGAAATGCCAACTGACTGACATTATCATAGGCCACTGGAATATCAGATGAAAATTCCGGGTGGAGTCAGGGTAATTCATACTTGTGATAAAATTCCTTTCAGCAATGGATTATCCGAATGGTTTGATGATGGGTTTTTTTTTTTTTTTTTTTGCAACTTTATAAATTCCCCAAATATTTTCCACTAGGTAGAGTAGGGGCAACAATGCTTCAACACCTGGGACATTCTGCAGATTTCAAGACCAATGGACTGAGTATGTGTAGATTGATGTCTCTAAACTATCTTTGGTCACACTGGCATCTGCAGGAAAGGAAACAGAAGGTGAGGGGACAATGAAAAAGTCTGAACTTTTCTCAAAAATAGTCTAGCACAGTGCTGTCCAATCAAGTAGGCAAGATTTTCTTGTGGCTATTTAAATTTGAATTAATTACAATTAAGTAAAAAGTTTAAATCACGTTCTATAGCTGCATTTGCTACATTTTGAGTGTTTGGTGACATATGGCTAGTGTCTACTGCATTGGACAGTATAGACAGAACATTTCCATCATTTCAGAAAACTCTGTTGGACAGTCCTACTCAATAGTTATAGAAAAAGTGTAAGCTTGATTCCAGTGATGGCTGGAAGTCATAGGAGAATCTTTAAACAGTGATTGCTCTATGATCGTATTTAAACAGGAGGAGAAAGAAATGGAATGGGCAAACATAGCCAGGGTGGTGCAGGTCTTTGGGTACAGGGAAGTGGAGATCTCAATTCCCTGCCAATGAGGGGTAATGAATGTCCTAGCATCTCATACAGAGTCTTCTGACAATTAAATACATACTTTCTCTTTAGAGAGGCAACACATGAATACTGAAGAGATGAAGTGTGGGAATAAACAAAGATATTCGGCATATTATTTGCTCATATCATAACCAGTTCTTTCACTTCATTACTTTTTGTTTTCAGTGAGCACAGGGTACACACTATGTTACCATACAGATCCAACCTAGAACCCACCTGCTTAGGAAAATTCTTTATTTACCTGAGCAT